AGTGAGGGTGTCTAGATAAAAATTAAATCATAATTTTAAAAGTAATTTTATGATATACAAAATAAATATGTGAGAAAAATTTTGTTTTGATTTACGTAAAATCATTTTTAAAAAGTATTTTTTTGGGTAACCAAACACTCCCCAAATCTTAATGGTTCATATTTAACATTTTTTTGGATAAAAATATTACGGTTTTACTTAAATGATACATAAATAAATCTAAACTGCTAGAATATGATCTGAATAGTTCATAAGGAAGAAAATCTACTTCTGTAAATTATTATTATTATAAAGTAGATTTTTCCCTGTAAAACTGTTCAAATCAGATTTATTTATGTATTTTTTAAAGTAGAATTATAATTTTTTTATAAAAATAATAATATTTTTTTAATATATTAAATTTGGAGCTGATCAGATTTTATCCAATGACAGTGAAGGGGGTAGAACCGTAGAAGAGAAGGGTAGAGGATATATAGAAGCTATTCCCGTTACTTGGGAGTTCGTGATTTTTATTTTTTTTATTTTGACTTTTCATGATACTCATCTCAATATTCTTTTTTTAAATAAAAAAAACATTTATACAATTAAAACATGCGGATGCGCATAAGTATTACTCCTCTGGTCCTTAATATAGGAACTAATTGTGGAGTTGATTTTGGTCTTAAAATATAAGACCTATTTCTCATATTTATTAATTTTTACTAAATTATCCCTATAGATCCTCTCTTAACCATAATCAAGTAGAAGAGGGAAGGAGGATAATAAAGAAGATGATTATGGTGTTTTGGGAAAAACACATCATGTTTTTTATAATTAACTAACTTACCTAACTTCCTTAATCTAATCAAATTAGTTAAATAGGTCTCATATTAAGGACCAGAAGAGTATAATATGTTCAAATTCAAAATCTAATCCAAACACACTTGCCATTGACATTCATCTCAAACATACATTTCCGACACATATCATATAATATGAGAATAGTGAGAGAAGCGTCTGGTTGATGTGAGTTATGAAACCCCCTTTAGACTTAGTTCTCGTAGCTTTTCACAATTGTGGCATCACCAGAAAGCACACTTGCTTAGATTGGACAAAGGAATGTTACGAGTCTCACATTATATAATCTCATAAGTGGTGTAAGGTTTATAAGTTCAAGGAACTCTTCCTCTTAGGAGGCTAGTCTTTTGGGATCGTATTCTCCCTTTGGGCTTACGCTGATCACGTTGGTACTTTCATTGAGAGTGTAGACTGACGAGAGAGGGCTAGCTATCTGTGAAGAGTTCTAACTAGTCGAAAACTGAGTGAAGTGCCGTAGAGTGGAGTCATAAGGGACATTGGCTCTCGATGGGGTGTTCTGTTATGAGTCTCATATTGGGAAATTTCAAAAATATTATGAGGTTTATAAATTTAAGATGCTTTTCTTTTTAATAAGCCAGTCTTTTAGAATTGGGCTCTCTTTTTAGATTTATACTTATCACAGGCATGTGGGAGTGAGAAAGTCCATCACCTCGCCTGAGCCTTCATGTGCTTTTCAGTCTCCTCCAAATATTCAGTCTTCACTCCAAGTTTTTAGATATTTCCTCCAAATCCACAATCTCTTACGCTTATGTTATAATATTATTAGGTGATTTTGTGTTGTTTGTAAGATCGATGATGCATTAAAACTTGCAGGCTTGCATTGTAACAGAGATTAATTCAAAATCCATCTCCTTCTACAATTCCTGCAACAGATAGAGATTCTAACTTTTCTTCACATAAAAATGTTTTGAGCCTATTATTCTTCTCAATGTCTTGCCTTTCAAGTTAGAAATTAGATTAAAAAACTCTAATTTGGATTGACCAAAAAGTACATCTAAAATTTATTAAGGTCTACTCTGAAGATGTCCACCAACCCTTCATCCTTCACGGTAAGTTAGAGATAAATAACCGTTTAAGTTCCCAAAATGAGCTTAAATCAAAAGCCATATATCAGACCAATCAAAAAATTGACACCCCATAAGGCTTTTAGGGCCTGATCTCATAAATATAGCCATAATTAAGACCCGACAGAACTAAACTCACCCTAATTGACAATTAAGGCTCACTATTTGCCCATTAATTATTCTTGCAGCCAAACCCACATGCATCCAGCATTATTTAATTTGCTGTACTTACTTATAAGTCCCTAATAAGGTCGACATAAGTTTTTTTTTAAAAAAAAAAAAAATCAGAATGTGAAAGCCGAAATAGATTAATTAGGGCCCAGCCGGCTGGCCACACTATACAAACCTTCATTAATTAATGATACGTCGCAATAGATATAGCTGCCTTTGTAATGCACAAACCCACGTGAGATGAAGGTCAAGTGCCCCAAAAGGAAAAAGGGAAAGCAAGGTTTACGCCAGCTATATATTACTCAGTTTTTGTCAGAAGAGATAGTCTGCTTCAATTATTGCTTATGTGTGTGTGTATTATGTAAATTTATGATGTAACTTGATCTGGCCATATAAACTGGAAAAACTAATAAACAATCCAAACATAAAACCTGCCATTATTTATGCTTGAGGTTTCATCAGTTGTGTGCGTTACATTAACAGATGAATTATCTCATATCAGCATATACATACTAGTTTCTACAACAACTTTATGAAGCAAAGGAAAACATCTTTAAACTACTGTGTGTGTGTGTGTGTGTGTGTGTCTATATTTGTGTGTGTTTGTGCATGTGGGAGCCAGAGAACAAGGTCTCACTGGACGCACAAATACGTGTGCGCGTGGGCGTGGCAGATTCTCTTGCACGTAGCAATATCTATTTCATATATTAATAAACTTGAATAACAGATCCACTCATCCAATCCAGAGAGCAAAGTATCAGAGAGAAGCTAAGGATCAATATCTCGTTAACTGATAGATAGCCCAGCATGTGATTATTAATTTTGTCGAGTAATTAATATAGATATACGATGGGACATATATGTTTAGTGGAGAACACACAGCGCACGGCTCAACAGAAGGAATTTTTGGTGCTTTTCATGAAAAATGCAGAATAATGGCCAAATTGAAAGCGATCAATATCAGCAACAAAACAAGGACAAGCACGCTCATCTTTGCCCAGACATGGCATAGACAAATATTTTCAGGCCAACCATGCTTCTATACCTAATAAGGAGACTCATCACATGAATCATATATACATATGAATGATTCAAGACACGTACTATATAGTCTTTTTGCTCACTTTAATCTTTTGACGGACCCTACAACATATATATATATATCTCCGTATACAAAGGTGGGGTGACTAAGTTATTAATTGGTTATGTCTGCCATCAATAATGTTGTCCAGTCCCTACAAAAGGATATCTTTTCAAATACTTGACGGCCTCCCTGCACAAACCATTCAACTCGGAAGAAAAGCTCTCTAGCTGATATGAAAACCCTCCACATTCAGTGGCTTTTGTTGGCCTGACTTCACTCAGTTTCCTCATCAAAAGCATTGAAATAATTAAACATATCCTCCCATATAGTTTACAGTCAAAATTATCAGAAATAAGTTCTGTTAATTTATTGAAATATGTGTGTGTTAAACGCTTTATGGAGTATAAACAAGTAATAATCAATTCAAATGCCCATACATCACAAGGAAAAAGATTGATATGTGATCTAGTAGTGCATGTGCAATGCCCCTTCCAGCTATTAATTAAACATACTATATTGCATGAATGTGCATCATGTGCTCTCCTTTTTATCTTTTATGCAACATTTCTTTAATATTGTCTGTAACTAATACCACTGACCACCGAAAGGAGAGAGAGACTAGTAAACTTGTCAACTATATGTAAAAAAATTCGGCTCAACCTTTAGACAACTTTACTTAATTAATAGGAGTATGTACTGACTAATATATTATCCCGGACATGATGGGATCCAGGTGGGCCTTCTTGTAATAATAATAGATTTTATCAAATGCTAAATGATTTTTGGACAAGGATAAATCATCTTCCTCAGGTATATAGACCCTCAACCTGGTTTCTTGCTGATTAGAGCAGAAGAAGGATGCATAATATGCATATCATGCACAGTTAAATCTCATTTGGACTTCTGCAGAATCTTTTTTTTTTTTACCTGAGACTTCTGCAGAATCTGAAACTAAGAGCCTCTTGCTCATTCCAGAATGTTACTGGTTAGAGAAATCTTGTAAGTCACTCTGATATGGTCATTTTATATATGCTTTGTTCAGACTGTTAAAACCCCGTCCTCAGCTAGATGACCAAGTGTACGCTGTGTATGCATATACATCCAATTTATGTTATTGGATGGAACAATTTTTATATCCCTGACTTGCTCCGCTATGCTTGTTGTATGTAAAACTTGACCAAGACGAATTGCATTGCACTTAGGCATTATATTATATAGGGCAGACAATTTGCTTATGAATTAAATGGAATTATATAGACACAGGAAGTGTTTGCCCTATACATCTGCAAGATGAATGGGTTCTCTCCTCAATAACATCTCCCAAGGGGGAAAAAAAAACCATATGGCCTGTTTCCAATTAAGATCATTTAGCCAACCTTAAATTTGGACCGACTATAAGTGGCGAAACGTGAATCAAACAAGGATATAGAGAAAGAAAAGCCGAAGCTATGAAGAAATTGGAGAAGCTATATGGGGCGAAAGGGCAAATAATTAACGAGAGATCACTTTGATATATATGTAAGAATAATATTACAAAAACTCTGAGAATCTGAAGTTTCCAATATTAATTCTTGATCAAGAAATCAAGAACGGAATCTGTTGGACAATCCACACTCAAGAAACCAAGAAAAGTCAAATCGATCAGGACAGGACCATCACTAAAATTCAGCAAGTAATTAACATTAACAAGTAACAATAGACATATATATATGTATTCCATACACAAATTCATGAGCCATTTTTATATCAATCGCTGGTGTACAAGCTCAAATAGGTGGATGTGTTTTGTTTATTGAATGGAAGGAGATTAATTAATTAATTACTCACTCACGACTCTCGACTTGCTCATGTCTTTTGTGGAAATTGCGGTGGCAGCCGCAAGCCGCACAAGTGAGAGCGTCGCTTGTGCCTTCCCCGGAGCTAGCCATGAACTCTCTGCAACCATCCACAGCATAGCCTCCCGTGGAAGCTGCATGATTCTTCTGACATTCACCATATCGAACGTTTCGGACCACTGTGTTGTTAACTCTTGTTACCACCTTCTTCATCTTCTTTCTCTCTCAGTTCAATATCAGTGGGGAGGCAAGTTGAAACTTGAAATAACACCAGGATTATTCTTTAGACGATCATTTATATATACATATCAGTGCCTTGTTGGTCACCAACTCTAACCCTAACCCTAACCCAGCATGTAAATTTTTTATAATGAAGAAGAAATTAATCGAGCAGTATTATCTTATAATTACCAGCCTTTTTTGGTGGTCCTGGTTGTTTAGGAGTATAATGGGACACCGACTCCCCAAAGTATTTTGATTTATCATCACCCTATGATGGCAGGCCACCTCAGCAGTAGGTTGTGATAAGCGGTGATTTCTGAATCCCCACCTGTTCATCCCTTTCTCATGGAAGTATATAGATAAATAAAAGGCATGTGGCCCTACCAAATTTAGACCATACAATTCAAAACAATAATTTCCTTAACTGATCAATGTTCGTGAATCAAATCAAAAAAACACGTGACCTTGTGCGAGTTGAAATTTTCTATATATCTATATATTGATCTTGGAAAATTTTTTCCCCTATATATTTATCGCACCCTTTTTTTTTATCTCTATCGCTCTCTATATATACCTAGTTGTGTGGTCAATTTAATAATAATATAAAAAGATTTAAATTAGTGTGCATATGAAACCACAACCCTGAATTTGTCTTTTAGAATTGATGGCTTACCTACCTCAACAATAAAATACAAACAAAGAAAAAACTATTTATGATCTCTAGAAGGCTGCTGAGATTTTAAGTTTTCTTTTAATGATGATATCTTCACACGCATTTTTATATAACACTTCACTAGCTTTCTTCTTTTTTTTTCCGGAAAAAAAAAGTATATAAGTTGCATTTTTTACATAGCGTGAGATTCTGGTTAGAGAATTAGAAACAAAAATGTCGCAAAAAATTTAAAAAAATTACAAGTTTAACTTGTAAATAACACAATTCCACTAATAAATATGGAAGCTTGACTTGTGAACATAAATTGTTAAATTTGAGTGGTAAATATGCAAATTTGACTTATAAATATGATTTTTTTTGGAACCTCTTTTAATTTAATTTTCTTACATGGGTCCTATAGGTAACTTCCCAAAATCGTATTATCCATAACTTGTGAATATTACTTATCATAAACTATAGGGTTAAAGGGCATTTTGCCTTTAAACTATCAACTGGGTACACTATTGTCCCTGTGCTAAAAAGGGTGCAATGTTTTCCCTCTATTAAACATTCGTTATTTTGATAGTTATTTGATTTAAAAAATTACGAAAAAGACCTCAGGAAGTTATAATAAAACACCCAATAAAAAACTAATACCAGTTAGTCCCAAAAATTACCGATGAATGGCAAGGTCAATAAATAAGTTTCACTCAAAAACGCAATGTATTTTATGCTCATTGAAAAGGTGATCAAAGATCGCAAAACTGATTTAGTGCAAAATCCATGTGCCAATACTTAGGTATCTTCATAAACTTTTTCATCTGATCTCCACCTTAAGCAAAAAGAATAATGTTAAGAAGCTAATGAAGTCCGTGGTTAAATAACATGAACTTTATTTCAAAACATTTTCAAACCCATGGGATATGATGTGATGATCAAATGTCAAATTATAATTTGCAAAAAACTAGATCTCACTACTAATTTTTTTAAAGTAAACATACATGCTTCCATTTTAAATTCCTTGAAAAAAAAATCTAACTTAATTTTAAATTCAAATTCAAACGGATCAAATCAAACAATGCTTATATATTGAGCTTGCGATATGATAAATTCAGAGATACCTTGCTCATGTAGGGGCCCAATAATCCCGTATTATGATCATCTATTTAAAAAGTAATATTAATACGAAAAATGAAAGCTATGGGATATATAAATATGCAAGAGGGTCAGAATGGGCTTTATTTGGTCAAACTCATGATGATGAAACTAATTTACAAGAGAATATGAAAGCAAACCAAACAAAGGGTAGATGCTAATTTGACATTTGGAGTAGGGGCCATACTGATATCCAAAAGGAAGGCCGCTATGGCCCCTTGATTATTGCAACTGCTGACAGCTACTCCTGACTGGTTTTACATAATCATTAATGACTAAGATTCGTCTAATCATAATTATAAAAACATTAACCCCACGTTGTATAACCACCGCCCTTTTTCTTCCCCTCCGATCAAATCAACCACAATCATAACCTATATGGTACAATTCTAGCCATTCCTTTAATTTCACACACCATCACAGTCAACTAACCCTATATACCCTAAACCATAGCTAAGATTAAGTTGAGAGGTGTGTATATGTTCTTCCTTCTCTGCTAATAAAATCTGACATTTTTCAATTTCCACACACAGAATGATATATATCTTGGGTGAATGTATATATAGTCAGTAAGAAGAATCTGCAGGAGGAGGAGGAGGGGAATATATATAGAATCTTTCATATAGGTACGACGTAGCTAGTTTGATGTTGAAAGGGGTGGGATTCTTCAATGGGTCCATGAGTGATAGATGCACTAGCGAGCGTTTAGGAGGGTCCTCCACCACTACTTCGTCAGGACAACTCAATCGAGCGCATATTGGAGGCACTGACATGTGCACGCTTCAAAAAGCTTACCAATTAAGGACAAACTAACGCGCATTTCTTTGTCAATATCCATATCATCCAACCGGTCCATCACACATTTTCATAAAACCCTTTATAAATCTCATCTAGCTATTTGTGTCAACAAACTAACTATAATTAAAATCAATTAGTTTTATATCAGTAAGAACTTTAAATAAGATCATTAACGTTAAAGTGCTTGGTCCAATATGTAGTACATGACCCTGGCTTAACAGCAATCTGCCGCCAGCCCAATGGCACTGTGAACTTTAAATCAAATGAATAAGCAACTGAATTTGAGAGTTGAAATTTACGAATGCCCTTTTAATCTGCAGTGCAGAATTTAGGAGGGCGTTTGTTTGAAACTTGAAACTTTGGCTCTCATGCTTGGCTATTTTAGACATTCCGTCCCATTGGTGGCAAGGGTAAGTGGATATACATCTTTCAAGTGGTGGTTGTTGTTAATTATTAGCAATAATCATCAGACAGACACGATAAGACATGCAAAATACTGAATTACCAATAAAAGTGATATGCCACTTCTCATTGCAGTGCAAATTATACTATCAACTATGTCTTATATTTAGGATCGAAAATAACATATAACAATCAGCTTAGAAATGTACTAAAAATGTCAGAAAAAGAAAGCGAATTTAGCCATAGTTATTAGCTTTTTTTTTTCATGAGCAGTTTCTTCATAATTGAATGATCATTGACTTAGGTGTAAATTTAGGAAATTTTTTATAGCCTACTAGAGAAGGATGAGAGGGATTATGCATGGGGATTCGCCAAAAAGGAATAAATAATACTATCTCTAGAGAAATAATTTTGATTTTTAATTTAGTCCTAAATATGATATTCTAATATATTTTGTTTTTCATATTTATCTATTTTTTTAAAGTAGTCATTGTAATAGTTACACATATTAAATATTCTATGAAGTGATAGTTCTAGTTAATACATATAACTAATAAGTGTATTTTATGGAAAAAACACATAATTATTACAAATAACTAACTTAACAATTTCTTTAATCTACTCAAATTAGTCAACTAATTTTTATATTAAACACCAAAAATAGTAAATTAAAGAGGAAATTTTGTGAGAATAATGAAGGAATGAAATCTCATTCTCGGAATAGATCATATTTGCCATCATGTCCCCATAAAAATGAGAAAATATTACAAATGTAATTAAGCTCTCATCTCATCATTATGCGTATACTGACAGGTGATGGGTTCTCTGATTAATAATGAGCAAAGCTTTTTTAGTTTGACTTTTTCTCCTTATCTGTTCTTTTATCTACTCATTGGTACTATTTTATTTAAATAATTTTACATCATTGTCAGTGCAGGTAAGGTATTAACGTAGTATGGCAACAGTTTTCAAAAAGTGTGGCCATAGAATAAGGAAACTCTTTTAATGGATAATGTGTCAATATGTAGTAGTTGATTTTTTATAAAAAAAAAAAAATTGTTGCCCATACTTTTAGACGACAATTGTCTAACTATATTCTTGCTGCAGTTTTCAGTTGTCCCTAAAAGGCAAAAATGTTGCACTGGAATATGGCTTAGGAATACAGAGGGTATAGGCGAGACATGAAAAGAGGTTAGCTTAAATTATACAGGATCTTCTTAAATTTCGGATTATGTTCTGATAGATAAACTGTTTTAAGACTTGACAAGGAATGAAGCCTTAAATTTATCCAAATACTAATAGAGAATGCTTAATTAAGGTGGACTTGAAAAGAAATTGGACTAAATAACCCTATGAACCTTTTGAATTGTTATCATGGTTAATTTCTTTGTCATCTCATTAATCAACAATGTTATGACAATGTATTTTTCTGCATATTATCTAAAGTTAAATTATTTGCACATGATTCAAAATTTAACAGGACCTTTTACATATTGTGTGTGTGTGTGTGAGAGAGAGAGGTTTAAGGGGGCTGTAATTAAGGTCAATAATGTATTATATTTCATTAGCAAAACAACACACACACACGCACTAATTGACAGAAAAATATAATTCGAGTAAGTTTGAAAGCTGAGGAAGGATTCCTAATCAATTTTCAAAGGTAAGTATAATTAATTATTTGTAAAGAACTTCAATTTATGAAAAGAAAGTTATCATTTAGTCAAGAGAATAAAGTAAAATATCCATAAAGGTAACGCTAACATTTTCACTCGTGTTTTGTATGTAAGCCATTTGTTCACAAACGGAGAGCAACAGGGAATTCTGACAAGTCACTCAGAGATTTTTGCCTCGCCAATGGCCTGGCGAGAAAAAATGGCCCAATAGTGAATCCATTATTAGTCTTCTCCTTGGTCTGACTCTTCTCTAAAATCCCAAGAGGCCATTGTTGCTATTGGGATTCCAAAGTCAAAACATAGACAAACAATTGACCCAGATATTTCTGCCCGTA